CCGCGCGATGCAAGTTCGGCGATGAATCTGTGCCAGAGCTGACAGGCTGGGTGCGGATGTACCACTCTCATCACACGAGTGTGCGCCTGGTGCTGCAACTTAAATCCCTGGGCAGCTCCGGTTATAGCTTTGCTTGCGCTGAGAAGCGAGTGGCGTTGTTGAGAGTCACCACAAGCAGATTCCAGCCAGCTAGCCAACTGTTCAAAGCTTAAGCAGCAGTTTAACCCTTCAATGGAAGCACATGTAGGGCTCTTAGCAACTAACGGAAGCTAAAGCCTCGCGTGGTACAGAAGGCCATGGCAACCAAGGACTGGGCTGGGGATTTTTTGCCAGTTCCGGCGCCATGTTCCAAAGGCCGCGTGACGTTTCGGCGATCATCTCGGGTAAAGGGTTGCGCCCCATGCAAGGTCAGCTTGGACTTGGATTTTGATGGAGGCTGGTATACGTGGGCTGGAAACCCTCGTCCGTTAACGATGCTCTCTGATGAGCCTGGCTTGCAGAAAGCAGTTTTTCGCACCTTCGCATGCAAGCATCGTCACAAATTCTGCCACCTTTTTGCATGTCCAGTGCCGTTAAGGAGGAGAGCCTCTACTACTACAGCTGAAGCCGGTTGTTGTGTTGTTAGGGCACTGGCTGGCTGGACAACGGCATCGATCGGTTGCGAAACAGAGCGCTTTTCCTGAGCGACTGCATGTTCCACACCAAGGCAGACAGCAATGTTGTTGAAACTTGAAACTGAAGCTCCCCTAAACCCTAAACTTCCTAAAACCTCTATCCGGCACAAGTCTGGCTCAGGCGAGTGTAGCCCTGTAGCTGCATGTCCTTGTGGCCTTGTGGTGCTTAAAAGCACCGGGGTGCGCGCTTTGAGAGCCCATGGACAGCCGGAACGCCTCCGGAGCATCAACTCCCAGCTGCGCAGCAAAACATGGGCTTTTGGCATGTTGCACACTGAATCTTCATGAATTATTGAATACCCAATAAAATATCTAATATTGTATATATCTAATATTGTCTATATCTATATATATATATATATAATATGTATAATTTTGTAGTCTCTTTTGGAGGCTGCCTCTTCTTTCAGCCCCGAGGTGCGAGCGGGGCCTATTCCCTGGAAGTGTCACACCTGCGTCAATCAACGCGGCCCAGATGCAGCTTCTGGGAACCCCGAGCCCAAGAAACCCAACAACCCCTACAACAGCAGCCCCAAACCCAATAAGCCCAACAATCCCAAGAAGAACCCCTAAACCCTAAGCCCTAAGCCTAAGCCCTAAACCCTAAACCCTACACCCTGAACCCGAAACCCTAAACCCTAAACCCGAAACCCTAAACCCTAAACCCTAAACTCCAAACCCACTCCTCCGACCAATTTACCCCCGCATTGCCGTGGCTAGTCGGGTGGCAAAAAAAACTCTAAACCCTAAACCCCAAACAAACCTCCTCTGACAAGGAGATCCATCAAGTGGGAGCGGCCCCGACTCCGTGACAAGAATGATTCACGCGGAGATGCTTTGCAGCAATTGGCATTGGGAGTTTATTTAGGGTTTAGGGTTTAGGGTTTCGGGTTTAGGGTTTAGGGCTTAGGGTTTAGGGTTTAAGGTTTAGGGGCAAACTGGGCCAGGTCCCGGCAGCAATGAGCCCGGTTGGCAAAAGGGGGCAAACTGGGGTTCCCCAAAATGAGTTTAGGGTTTGGGCTTCAGGGTTGCGGGTTTAGGGTTAAGCAGTATGCTGGTTCTAAGTGTGGTTTAGTGGTACGAACCCTTTCTCGGGGGTTCTCTTAATAAGGAGTATCGTGCTATGGGGTATATGGTCCCCTATTCTGGGGAACGATGAATTGGCTTGCGGTGTGGGTGGGAGTCCAGACATCGAGATCGCTGAGGTCACCAAGCAAGAGGCTTTTTGCTGGATTCTCTACTGTCCTTCCTTGGCGACTTTGATGTGTTCAGGGGGGACTAACGTTGAAATTTGTCGGAGATGTTCAATGCGGCTCTGCCGCCATGAGCTCCAGGCCACCGTATCAATGCAGTTCGCCAAAGGGCAGACTCTATCTCACTTGCTGCTGGATATCTTTACTTATTGGCGCCTTGCTCTGCACAGTAGAGAGGAGAGGTGACGGTTTGTGCAAGAGAGCCCCCATGCCGATGAGCTACGGAACAAGGGCTGTCTACGCAGCGGCTGCTGAATATGCGACCGGGCAATGTGAATGGAGACCTGAAAGGCATGCAGGCATGCAACATGGTCAGACCTGTCTTGCGAACATCTTGGTTTTCCCGGGGCCGGAAGAATAGAGGGCGGAAGCACAAAGAGGAGAGGTCGGGAGACCGGACAAACTCCACAACACACAGAGTCGAATGGGCGTGGCGAGTTGAAGTTGTGTCGACTGTTCGATGGTGTCTTTCCTAAGTCGACCCGCTTCAGCGCTGATGGGTCGGATCATCGCCTCTTCTACCTCTTGCCGCGAGGTCGCAAGAGATGTGTGGATCACGAGCTCAGAGTTGGCCCTACTCACACATATGTGTATACATATATATATACACAATATTGTGAAGTCGACCAGCACTGGACTTGCACTAAGCCAATGCAATCACAGCCCGGTCACGCTGTTTTACGACTTCGTGAGTCCAAGCACTTGTGCAGCTACGCCTGAGTGCGTCCGGTCGGACCGCACAGCAACCTAGGAGCTACTGTACGACTCTACCGTGCTCAAAGGCACAAGCTCGGTACTTGAGCCAAAATATTGGCATTGATACGAATTGCAAATCTACACATGCAAAGGAAAACTACAGTACTGGTTCTGGCAGCTCTGCACATGGAACGTGCGTGCTTAGACCTGCTCACATTCGCCCCTCAGCCGAGGCTTCCAGCTCATCTCGAGCTCGGAGTGCAGCAGGCACTCGCGCTGAACACAGAAAGGGAAGGGCGAGGGTGTCGCGTGCGACCATGGTGGTCCGCACATCATGAGCATTGGCACGCGGCAGGGACGCTAGCCCGCACCACCACAACGAACGCACGACGACAGCAACCCTCAGCAGCCCTTAACCACCCTTTCCCAGGAGGTCCTCACCCTTTTGCTGGTGGGCGAGGCTCTTGAATCCTCGAGCTGGTCTCTAGCTGCCAGTACGCAGACTAGGGTACAAACTATGGTACACTGTACACTTCCGGTCCTAAGCTACGGCTACGGCTACTCACCTATCTGGAACTACCCTACGGGCTACCGGACTCAGCGAGAGCCGCGCACATGGCTTGTGCCGCAGGCAATGCAGCTCACACGCGCTTCGGCGAGCGCATTGCCGCGACCAGGACACGGTCCGCAGCACCTGCAGAAGAGCACCCTCAGCACGAGGGGCCACAGGCAGGGCGGAGGAGAAAGGTGCGGGGAATGCAAAATGGGCAGGTTTCCAACCTGCCGCGGCTTTTCGCCCGCAGTCAAGCAAAAGAAAATGCAAAAGGTTGGCGAAGCAACATGCCGTGCTGCAACGCCTGCTCTGATAATGCGTGGATGCATACCACGCCGCGCCGACTGGCCGCAGCCTACTCGATACCCTGTGGAGCAGTGTTGGGGGCACGAGTGGCGATGCCAGCAACGTTGGAGCTTCTGGCTCGCTCCAACTGAGGGCGCCTTGCGACCGCCTCATCGAGGGAGAATGCCTCAGCCGACACCCTCTGGAAATCCTCGATGTAGGACTGCGCGACCGGGTGCGTCTTGGCGACCTCAAGCCTAAGCCCTGCCTCCGCATTGGCTTTGCTGCTTGTGGTAAAATTGAGGCTCCCAATCAGCACCACCGCGCCATCAGGCCGCAGTAGGCAAAGGGCCTTGGTATGGTGAAGCCCTTGGATACCGGTACCTACTTTAGCCCCGCGGCCGTCGCGAGCATAGGCGTCGCGCACGGATGTGCCGCAACCCACCTTCACCTCGGCGCCTGCAGCCGCCAAGCGTTTCAACGCTTGCCACTGCAGTTTGGTGCGGTGGCATTGTCCCATGTCGGCGACAATCCGAACGCCTGCGCCCTTGCTAAGCGACGCTTCGATTGCCTCGATGCAGGATGGGCAATCTAAGCTGTACGCCCGGATGTAGATCACATCCTCTGCTGCTCCAGACCCAAGCAGCATTTGGGCGGCCTGAACGTATGGCCCGCCCGCAAGGAATTCCGCTTCTTTGACTGGAGAACTCCTAGCGGGGACTGGGCCCTTGTTCCTCCGGCTGGGTGTGCGCGCCACAGTGGCAGTGGCGGCACGTTGCACGAAGCCGGACTGTGCGTGGGCTGCGCTCGCTCCATCTGCTGGGGCCGCGGCCAGGTCACGACCCGCGAGCCCCTGAAAGCAGGAGAGCCCGCGGCTCTTGGCCGCAAGTTGGGAGAAGCATCCTTCACTGTTCCCCAAACCCAACACAACCTTACCCTTAGCTAGGGCTTCGGAGGCGGTACTCCGAATGGAGTCTGTGAGCGCAGAACCCGCGCCTCGCTGGGCCGCGTGCAAAAACCCCAGGGATCGAGCGGTGTCCATTGCGGCATCGCAGTGCCCGCAACGTCCCTCTGCTAGGTAAGCACGACAGCCACAGGCAGCTGTCTCCTCCTTGAGGTGCACCCAAACTTTATGGGTCGCCCCTTTCTTAGTGCTCGCGACCTCAAACGTCGCTTCAGAGCCAAGGAGTTGAGACAGCCGCGCCTCAGGGGCCGCGGTGTTGCCATGTCGCAGATGCGCAATGCGATTGGCAACGGCACGACTCACGTACCACAGAACAGCGCTGCACAAGATCACTACTACCAGAGTGATGGCTGTTCCGGCGACCCACACGGTCCGCCTGGCCCCATGACCGATTTCCTCGACAACGTCGGCCGAAATTGTTGCAACCGCGTGCATGGAGTCCTCGACAACATGCACAGCCCCGCGGTGCAACTGCAAGGCAATCGGCGCCGACGCTGCAGCCGCCAGGCCCCACCAGCCGTTGATGTTCCCGTTGAGGGCGTGCATCAACCGATTGAGGAGCCCGCGACCCAGGAAAAAGGGGGTCCGCGGCGGAAGCGGAACACTTGGCGGCGGCCGGGCCGACCCGCACGGGAAGGCTGGGACCCAGCTTGTGCTTGGGCGGGGTTGGAGCGCGGCAACTATGCCCGCGGCGTAAGCGCCCCAGGCGTACCTGCCCCTCCCCTTGGGCTTGCCCTTGGCATCGGACTTGCCTCTGCCCTTCGGCTTGCCCTGGCCCTTGCCACAGGCATCTGCCCAAGCACTCCAAGGGTCGCGGCCCTTGCCGTACGTCGCTTCTTCGCGACGTCGCTTACCGCCCCTCTTCTTGTGTTTGTTTCTAAGAAGAGGTTGGATGGTTTCTTGGTCCTTGGTCCATCGCAAGATTGGCCAGAAGGATCTCGTGCTCCAGCTCGTCCTGGCTGCTTTCGGAGCCAGAGTCCCTCTCTTCGCCACGCCGATCAGGGATCCCGCGAGAGACGACCTCTGCCAAACGGAGAGGGGTGCTGCAGCGAAAGCACAGCTGCCTGAATGAAAGATTCCATTCATAGCAGTTAGGGCACTGCCACCCTGCAATGCGGAGCGCTTCGCTGATGTGGTCATCGCGCTCCGCCTTGTCCGCCTGGCGCCGCTCTCGCTTCTTGGCGCGCTCGGCCGCCTGCGCCTCCTCGGCCGCCTGGAGGGCTTCAGCGAGTTCCTCATCGCTGAGAAGCCTCGCGGCATCCGCCCGCGCTTGTTGGTCTTCAAGCGCTTCGGCAGAAAACCTCTTCGGGCCGCCCGCGTGCGTGGTGAGGCACTGGTCCTCGGCAACCGGGTTGATGGCTTCGCAGAAGAAGCACCGCCAGCTGCCGTAGGGGTAAAAGCGGCCTTCGACGTAGGCCCGGTTGGCTGGGAGGGCGACATCGTCCGCCTCATCCGCGGTGCCTGCCTCCATCTCAACCGAGACCTCCTCGTCCTTGACAACCTCAGCTTCCTCCTCCTGTTCCTCCTTGACCAGGGGCTCTTCTTGCTCCCGGCCAACGTTGAGGTGGGACTCAGTGCGAACCTCGGCGCGCATCAAAATGACGTCAAGGCTATCCGCGGCTGGGTCGCCCGCGAAGAAGGAATCGATCTCCTGGGCATGGAGATCGTCAAGAGGCGTCACCAGGTCTGGCGAGTAATCCCGCTTGGAACGACGACGCTCTGCCAGGCGTTGCTGAACGTCGCTCGTCGGTGCGAGGGCCCGCCCGCGCGGAGCGGCCTCCCGCGGAGGTCCATGCTCGGCCTCCTCCGTGGGCTCGCTCTTGGGGACCCTCCACCGCTACTCTCTGGAGCGGGATCCAGCTCGGGGTCATCGCGAAGCCACCCCGGTGGATGACTACCACCATAAATGTGGTGCGATCCGTCCTCAAGCTGGATTCGGTCCCCTCTCTTCAGGAGCGGGACCTTCGAGTGATCGTACCCGTTGGCTTTGTGGTACCGAATCACTCGGAGCATGGGCACCTCCCCATACCCACCGTCCTTTCCTCGGCGGAACAACCGTCCCCGACAGTCTTGACGAAAAGGGTCAAGAGGTGCGGAGGGGCTGATCCCCAGGTTGGGCGGAAGAGAGGCGCCATGGCAGGCCGCCTGATGCAAGTGGTATTGCACCAGCGACTCAAAGGCCAGCCCGCATCCAGGAGCTGAGCATCCATAGTGGCCGTCAGCATTGGGGCGAGGCACCTCTGGGGCCGGGGCGGACCCGACGGTCCCGCCTCTTGAAGGCCTGGCGGAACTGCTCGATCCCGCACCCCCGGGGGCATCCTGACCATCGTCAGACACCTCTTCCCCGTCGGCGCCTTCCCCGGCCGCCCGATTCTCTCCCCCACGGCGCAGAGTTTTGAGGGATTCCTCACGCTTGGTGATCTTTTCTAACTTCACCATCGCGGTTCCCGCCACCTCCAGTATTCTCGACTGGAGTTTCTGCGCTCTCAGAAGAGCTTCGGACCGCGCGAGGTACTCCTTCGCGGTGCTGACCACCGATTGGCCAAGTTCGAGGACTCCTTCCTCTATGCTCCCGGCCTGGGCCCCACCAGCGGGCTCTTCGTCCTCCTTCACCTTGACCGCGGCTTGGGGCGCCCGCGTGTCGGGAAGATCCGAGCTGGAACTATCTTCCTCGACACCTTCAGCTTCTTGGGCTGCCTCTTCCTCGAGCGAGTCTTCGGCCTCGAGGGCATTGGGGCCAGGGACGTTGCGCCTAGGATACTCCTTGGGCTTCGCTGGAAAGATCGAAGTCTTAGGAGCCCCTGAAGCACGCCCTTTGGCCTTAGGCGCGGCCTTAGGAGGGGTAACAGGTCGGGCGGCCCCCGCGGCCATGACACGGCCCGCAGGGGCCAGCACAACCGTCGAGGAGCTCGCCGCGCCACTGCTGGCCGCAGCAGCTTGGGACGCTTGGACCGTGCCCAGTTTCGGTCCTCGCCCCAACGGCGGGTGGGGGCCCGCACTGATGTCGCCTAAACTCCTTAGGTCGACAT